TTTCTACCGCGAACTACCCTCACTTTCTCCCCCGAAGGCCCAGAACATACCGAACCCAGCATCAGCGATCGTTGACAGCCATGCTCGATAGCAGTAGCTCGCCTGCAGTGACTGCCAGTCGTTGATCTCATTATAGTGAAGTTATTCTCATCGAGTCAGCGGTTGAATTCATCCATCTTCCCTAAGCTTTACCACAATGAGCTCTAGTTTTATTACAATTAGCTTAAGCTTTTTTAAAATATTATGCCACGTCATCATCGTGTTTGGCGGTCGTCCAAAGCTTCCAAAACTTGTTTGGACTCTGGGCACCGGATTCCTCGGTAACTAAGAAGGGCGTTTTTTTGAAACGTGCGGGCGGGGGCTCGGGAACCCAGCGTGTGGCCACCGCCCCCCCGCCAGCGAAGCTCCCCCGCGCCGTGGGATCGACATTCGGTGCGCGCGGCGCGTCATGGAGGCTGCGTGCGGGGGCGGGGCAGCCCGTGAGGAGGCCTTGGCGGCCCGGAGCGTGACGCGGCTGGAGGCGATGAAACGAGTCGACACGGGGATGGCGTGGGGTAACCTCCTCGCGTCCCTCATACACAGAACGAACGGTTCATTATTCGGGATTCGGACAAATGATAATTGAGGGGGTTGAACGATGGTCGAACGATATCTGACGCTGCCTTCGGCATGTTCCGGGCCACTGTGGAAGAAACTGAGAGCACTTCGCCGTACGAAGTCGGGGTCGGCGGTCTCGAAAAGTCACTCCATGTCGAGCGAGAGGCAGCAGAAGTCGAACACGCCACGGTGGGCGCGTCGCGCGGCGCTGGGGGGCGGGGAACAGGGATCTCAGCTTCTGCGTGTTCCCCCACGAGATGGACTGAAGTTTCAGGATCTCTAACCCCGAGTTCCTACGGCAAACTACTCTCGTTTTCTTCCCCTGTGAACCATAACATGCCCAACGCAGCGCCAGAGATCGTTGGACCATGCTCGAAACTCAGCACGCTGAGATCTCGTCCGACCAATGGGATCAGCGGATTGGATTCTTGGATAATATATATTTCGTTCTCTACATGCTGGAGCTGGGGCTGCCAGAGACCTTCTTGAGGACTACTAGTAGACGAAATCGACGATTTCGAGTCTCGCGGCCCAACCCTTCTAACCAGACGACCCCTCGGTGACGACAAACGATCCCTGGTGCTGCGTGGGCTCGAAAACAGCTTTAAGGGGTCGGGGGAGTCGAGCGCGCCCCATTTCGCCCGTCTGAGTCGCTACCGAATCGCCTAGATGTCTCGTTTTTATCGGCGCGTCGTCCGTGCGCATGCGGTCCATACAGCTGCTGAGATCGTTGCCCATCTCGGCGCATTCGCGGAATTGAGGGGCTGCGAAGACGACCAGCTACATTCGGCGCATCCGAGCGCTGCGGCGTCCTGCAGAGTAGAGAACCGTGCCCGGCACCTCAAGAGTCGGCAACGACTATCCGCAGATCATCCAAACAAAACTGAACCTCTCTATACAATATCTAAGTAGTAAATTTAGCACTCAGACTTGATTCTTTTGGAGACTCGTGTCGCCCAGCCTACTTAAAGCAGATCGGAGTTAATTTTGACCCCTCGAGCTATGGGAGCTATTGGCACTTTTTTTTTGACTTTTTTTTTTCGATGCACCTACGCGCCCCGGCGGACCCCCGGGGCACCAGGGGGTGGGGAAGGGCGCTGCGACGCGGCGGGTTGTCGAGGAACTCGCTTTAGCGCGCGTGCGACGGCCGCGTGTCGCGCCCGCGCGGGACCGCGCGGCGCATTACGACGGTCGGCGCGCTTCGCCCCCCCCCCGCG